CAAGAGAAGTGACTGACGGACCCCGGCTCTGTTTGGACCCGACGCAAGCAGGCTGGCAAGGGCGGCGCGGGCCAGGACCCCGAGCCCAGGCGGGAGGGAGCGTGCTTTTCTGCAGGCGTGTTTGCCGGCCGCCGGCCTCACCTCATCTTGTCGCTGGCTTTGCGGGTGGGTCTGGTTTCCCTGGGGCCCCTGAAGGAGGCGGGAGCATCCCTCCCTCTGTCGGGGTTGGAGGTGGGACTCTGCCCGCCAGTGGTGCCTCACTCAGCCGGCCTGAGTCGGGGGGGGGGGGCGGCGCCCCTGTTCTGCCGTCTGAAGCCTGCCTCTTCCAAAGAACGCAGCGAAACAAGTGAGCGGACACGCGTGTGTGTCAGTCGTGTGGCCGCAGGGCTCGGCGGGGCTGGGCTTCCCAGCGTGTCTGCAGCCCCGTCTGGCTCGTGGCGCAGGTGTGAGCGTACAGGGGCGTCCTCGGTGCCCCGCCCTCCTTCTCTGTGCTCGGGGCCGGGGATTCAGAGGAGAGGGGGGCTTGCGCCTGCCCTGATGGGGGCTGCCCAGCCCTGAGGCGTTGGGACAAGAGGCCTCCCCGGGCCGTGTCGCTGCAACAGCGACTTTTCCCGTCCCCCCCCGAAGCCCCCTCCGCCTTCTCGCCCCCAGTTCCTCTCCTGTCCCTGGATGCGCCCCCTCTCGGCCCCTTGTGCCCCTCAGCACAGCAGAAGCCCACCGTCCTCCCAGCCCCCGTCCTGCTCATCACCACATCATGGGCCCCTGAAAGTGTGTCTTGTAAGAAGGACCACACCTTGCCTTTGCTGGCTGGGGTTTAGTGACGGTCCTGTGATGCTACGTTGGGGCAGGTGTGCCCCGCCCGCTGGTGGCATGAGGTGGGGTGAGGGCTCCTGGGAGGGGGCTTTGGGTGGACGGGCCTCTGACTGTTCCCACGCCATGGAGGAGCTGGCAGGCAGGCCGGGAGGGCCTCTTCCAGGAAGGGAAGCGGGCAGAGGGCAGCCCTGCGGCTCTTTCTCGGGGGGTTCTCCCTGAGCCCACAGGTGGGTGGGGCCATTGCATGTGCCGTGTGCCCGGCTGTCGCTGCTGCGCCCGGCCTGCGGGGAGTCCAGGGGGTCCCCCACCTCCTTCCCCGCCTCCATGTGATGATGGTGGGGATCTGCACGTGCTCGTGGCTGGCGGGTCCCTGCCTGCACCGAGTGAAAGTCTGGGCGAGGCTCCGCCCGGCGGGGGGACCCCTGCTGCTTGGCGCTCGCTCCGGAATCTGTCGCACCCACCTCCGGCTGGCACCTGGGCTGGCCCTGTGGTGCTGCGGCTTTGGCCACGGGAGGGGGCGTCTTGGGAAGGCGTCCCAGGGGTCCTCCTTTAGGGAGCACATCAGGTGACCGTTGTCTCTCATCGGCTCTCCGTCCCTCCCCGGGTGAGGCGGCCTGACTCAGTGCAGGCTTGTGCCCGGGGAGAGGGAGGGCTGTGCGGTGGCACTGAGATCACACTCTGCAGTGCGCCGGGCAGGGTTGGTCCCGGCACAGGAGCCGTTGTTTAGGGCGCCCAGTGGGTGCTTCAGGTCGTTCGGGTGGCGTCTAGGGAGCTGACATGCTGCACTTGTGTTTCCAGGCTTATTTCCATCTCCCCTCACAGCGACTTCGGTATCTCAGCTGTTAATTACATGGGCTCAGGGGGCCTCGGGCGCTAATCCGCGAGGTCAGATGACAGAGGTGACGCGGAGCGCTGTGCACCCGCGAGGGGCTCGCTGCCGCCTGCCGTGTACCGCCGGTTCATTACAGCTCGCGCCGCCCTGAGAACGGGGTCGGGGGCGATCGCGCTAATTGGCGGTTGCGTGGTCAGGCATCGATCTGGCTGCCGAGCGAGGCGTCCGGCCCGCCCCTGAGGGACGAGGCTGCTAATTGCCCGTGGCCTCCGGGCGGGCAGGGGCACCTGGCCCCCAGGCTCCGTCTCTCGCCCTCCCCTCCTCCTTCCTCACTCACTGCCCAGCGCTTGGAAACGATGCTGATCCGTGGAGACCTGCTAATGGCGTGGGGCGGGGGCTCGGAGGCCGGAGGGGGGTGATCTGAGAGGTGGGCGGGGATGGGGGAGCGGCAGGGTCGGGAGCCAGGTGGCCCTGAGTCTCTGTGCTCAGGTGGCGTGGCCACCGGGCCCTCCTGGCTGTGAGGCCCCAGGGGCTGGCACAGGCTGGGGCTCTGAAGTGTCTGCTCCAGCTTCCCCCCGTCTGCCCGGCCCCTCGAGGAGCAGAGCCCACCTGGCCTTGACCCCACCGTTTTCTCCAGGCAGTGCAGCCTCTCCCTTGACTGGTGGGGTTCTCGGTGTGTTTGTTTTCTTTCTTTTCGCTCCCTCTACCCCCAGGCGGAGTTTACACAGGGTGGCCTGGGGTGCAGGCTGGGTACACAGTAGGTCCTCCTGCTTGGTGGCCGAGAGCTCTGGTGGCTTTTCACCCCCTCCCCGCTGTGTCCTTCCGGCTGCTGGTGGACGTGGCGGGAGTTTCTCGTAGGGGCCGCCCGCCTGCGTGTTTGGTGGACGGCAGCCTGCTTTGCTGGGGCCCCAGGAGCGGGGTTACCGTGCCAGGGCGTGGGCGGTGGTGGGGAGACAGATGCTCCCAGTTTCTCCAAGTTGCACAAACCTGGTGAGCGCTCAGGGTACAGGGGTTTCCCGGCCTGGTCAGCCCGCCGCCTGCCTCCTGCTTCTCCCTGGAAGCTGGCTTCTCGGGTGGGCCCCGCCAACCTGGCAGACACAGCTCGTTTCAAAACTTTGGCGGCTGTCCCACTGGGAAAGGAAGGCCGCCGACGTTGTCGCCTGTCGGCTGTCCCCAGGCGGGCGGTACTGACAGCTGACCGAGGCTGGAACTTGCCCCACGGCTGGGATCCTGACCTGGTGCTGGGTCTCGGTGGTTGGCCCGGCCGACTTGGGGTTGCAGAATTGTGTGGGCCGTGGTCGGCGGATCTGTTTGGGGAATCGGGGGTCACACGTCAGGGGCAGCAGCCTTTAGGTGCCTCCTCACTGCCCACTGGCCGAGCACTGACGGTGAGGGCTGCAGGTGAAGGGGGCACCTGGCCTCAGCATCGTTCTTGGGGCTGGCGAGCGGCTCGGCTGGGGGCAGGTTTGGCTGGCCCGGGTGTCTCCCCGTGGGGCTGCCCCGTACAGTTGTTCAAGCTGTGCACAAGCGTAGGGAAGCACGCTGCTCAGGGCGAAGCTCTGTCCCAGCGTCCGTGGGGCCTTGGCTTCCGACCACTCTGCCTCCTGGTCACTGCTGAGCCCGCGCCTCGACGGTCGGGGCCTCTGGGGCAGAGGGAGGGGTGACTGTCTCCCAGCACCCTGAGCTGTAGGCTGCCGTGCCTCCCCTTCAAGCAGAGGTTTGATTAGGTAGCAGGAGTGTGCCCACTCGAGATGGTTTGGAGAAAAGATGCGGGTCTTGGTCCCGGGGACCCAGGAAGGTTCTGAACAAAATCCAGGGAGGATGTGCTGCTTGCGGAGGGGGGAGTCTGTGCTGGCCCCAGCTTCCCCCCCCGCCCCGAGGCCCCAGGTGCCCCAAGTGGGGCTCCCGCAGACAGACGCCGCCCAGTTGAGCCCGTCAGAGGGGAGCTCTGCAAGGTGGCGCATGTCCAGGCTGCTGCTTGGGGCTGTCGTCAGCAGGCTCCTCGGCCAGGTCCACCCCCTCGGGCCGCCCGAGCTCACACAACCCCCGTGACCATGGGCGAGCGCGGTACCTGGGACGAGCTGAAGTTCTGCTGTGTAGTAAAATCTGGGGGTCCCCTGTCTGGCCTGCCCCAGATTCAGGGCCCTGGGTGCTCTCCGTGGCTCTCAGGTGCGGTGGGGTTTGTGTCGGGGGCCTGTGGGCCATGGGGCCTCGGCGGGGTGGGGGGGCATGTGAGGGGTCTCCTCTGTCCCCAGACTGCAGCCCAGAGCAGTGCGGGGTGTGGATGTGCACACGGCCGAATCTCGTTGGGCCTGGGTGTGACTCTCGGGGACCCCAGGACCAGGCCCTGCCGGCAGCTCCAGCCCTCAGGGGCCACTCTGCTGCCCGCCTGCCGGGATAGATATCCCACCGGGCGGTGACGTTGGGGCGAGCCTGGGCGCTGGGGGTGGGGGAGGGGGGACGCACCTCCACCCCTCGCTCACAGGCGGCCCCGCCCCTCGCGGGAGGAGCAGCTGCCGGCCAACCTGGCTGCAAATGGGTGACTTCCTCCCAGCCCCCCAGGCCCCGCCCTCTCCTCCCACCCCACGCACCACCACGACCCTGTGCCCCTGCCAGGAGCTAAACCAATCCCATCCTCCTGCCACCCTCCACACCACCCCCCTCGGGGGGCAGCACATGGGGGTGATGCTGAGGGTGGGGCTTCTTTTGGAGGTGATGGAAATCAGATAATGGTGTCGTTTCCACAACGCTGTGAATATGCCCAAAACCACCGACCTGTATGCTTTCAGCGCCGGATCGTAACTCAGTTCTTAAAACTTGAAATGAACGCGTTCGGTATTTTGAAAATACAAGCCTTCGTCAGCCACGCCCTCGCCTGTTCCCCACTCTGCCAGGCCCGTCCAGCAGCTAGGACGCCCCCTCGAGCACACAGGGGGCTCGCAGGGAGAACTTCGGGCCTTTCTGTGCACCTCGGGGCGTCTCGTGCCCACCCCCTCGCTCAGAGCCTCACGTGCAGCTGCTGCCTCTTGTGGGGCAGGTTCAGCAGGCCCCTCACTCACCCTGCGCCCAGCGGCCCACATCAGCCCCGGTGACCCGGGGTGTCGCGCACGGCCCCCAGCTGCCGTGGGTGTAACTCGTCGAGCCACACTTGCTCCGCCCCCGGCTCTTTCCCCCACTCGGGGGAGGCTTGCGGTGAGCAGCATGGGGCACGGGAGGCCCTGTCCGTGGGTGGGGGTGGGGAGGTACCGCCCAGATCCCAGGCTGGGGCGGGGCGTCCGCAGGAGCCCGCGTGCCCCTGCCCGGCTGCTGGGGCCCGGGGGGCACCCGCTCAGGCTGTTGTGTCCTTCTCCCGCAGGGTCTTCACTGAGCAGTGAGTCGTCCCCCGTCTCCTCTCCGGCCACCAACCACAGCTCTCCAGCCAGCACGCCCAAGCGCGTGCCCATGGGCCCCATCATCGTCCCCCCCGGGGGCCACAGCGTCCCTAGCACGCCCCCCGTGGTGACCATCGCCCCCACCAAGACCGTCAATGGCGTGTGGAGGAGCGAGAGCCGGCAGGTGAGTGTGGGGAGGGGGCTTGGGGGGGGCCGGATGTGCCACAGGCACTGGGGAGGCGGCCTCCCGCGGAGCGGGACTGGGTTTCGGGGTTGAAATCCCCTGCCCCAGCTTACTCCCCTGAGCTTGTCTTTTTCTCTGCAAAATGGTGTAAGTACAGCACCTACCTGGAGGGTCTGCGTGATTCAAGAAGATTCATGGGCGTTAGTGGTCTTGGGCTGCCAAAACGAGCCTCACAGAGCATCACAGACGGGGGCTTATTTAAGACAGATTTATTCTAGAGGCTGGAGGCCCAAGTTCCAGGTGGGGACAGGGTCAGTTTCTCCTGAGGCCTCTCTCCTCGGTGTGTAGGCGGCCGTCTTCTCCCTGTCTCTTCCTGTGCTCTTCCTTCTGTGTGTGTCTGTGTCCTAATCTCCTCTTCTTATAAGGACACCAGTCCTATTGGATCAGGGCCCATGCTCGTGACCTCGTGTTACCTTAATTACCAGTTCAAAGATCCTGTCTCCAAATATGGCCACTTTCCGAGGTCCTGGGGGCTGGGACTCCAACATAGAAGTCTTGGGGGACAAAGTGTTTAAAATGGTGTTTACACATCCGAAGCACTAGATAGACAATAGCTGTTATGGTTATTCTCTATTGCACAAACAAAGAATCGAAATAGCGAAAATACCAGCCTGTATTTTCACAGATCAGATTTCCTATCTCTGTCTTAACCTTCGAAGTCCGCCCGCCCCAGGAGGCCCTTTCCCGCGCTTGGGGGGGGGGTGGGTCCCTGGTGTGACGTGGCCGTGCAGAAGGAGCTCGTGGCCTTGGGAGCTGCCCCTGCACCTGCCTACCTCCACCACCCGCCCCCAGCTCCGGTGCTCCCAGCCTGGAGGGGCCCTTCCTAACTAAGAACACTGTCCCTGTGCTTGTCTCCTGGATTTTTCTGGAGTTCCCAGAGGGATAGCACCACTTGGAAATACTAATTAAACCACAGAGAAAGTGTGGGGGAAGCGGGGAGGGTGGAACTCTCCCCTCGCCCCCCTCGCAGCGCTCTGCCCTGCTGGGGCGGGTGGGGGGATGGGCCCAGGGCCCCAGCTGGACATCACTCAGGGTCTGTCTTTTCTCTGCCCTGGAGGTGGGGGGAGCCAGCCTCCGTCCACAGAGGGGGCCACCCTCCGTCCACAGAGGGGGCCACCCTCAGGCAGGCCCTGACCACGGAGCCCAGTAGGGACCTCCTGAATTCCTGGAAATAGGCCAGGGGACCGTAGCTTGACTCCCACATCCGAGGTGATAGACGCTGCTGGGTCATCACCTGCCCAAGGCCCCCGTGCCCGCCTAGAAGCTGCTGCCTTGGCTTTGTCGCTCTACCCCGAGTGCAGTTTGGAGGCAAGAGAGCCAGGGCAGGGCCTGGTGAGCGGATCCTGGCCAGAGGGGTTTGGAGATGCCCAAGACGCCGCAGTCCTGGTTTGAGGGAGGACAAGGGGTCTTCACCAGCATCTCCTGCCTCCAGAGGGGCCCGTTGCCACCTGGCGACCAGCCTCGAGCTCGGGGCCCTAACCACCTGCATCTCCCCTAACTCCCGGGGGCCCAGATGGTTTCTGATCCTGTTGCCACGTCCCTGGTTTGGTCCTGGCTGGTGACGGCCACCCACGGCCCAGATCCTCCCCTCTGGTCCTGTCCCCTGTCCCAGCAGCTGCTATCCAGACCCAGGAGCCTCCTAAGCGACCCTCTCCTGGACACTCAGGTGCCTTGGCCTTGGGCCCCTTCCCCCCAAGCTCAGCCCTCCTCGGGGTGGAGGGGGGTCCTCACTGCCTCAGAAACACCGAGTAACCCCCAGAGGAAGGGCCGCGGTGGCTCTCTGCAGCCACTTACCAAGGCGGTGGTTAATGAAACACTAGTGCCACCAGGGAGGGCGGCGGGAAGGGAGCTGGATCAGTGGGAGACATGCAGCTCGTCGCCCCGGCACAAAGGCTCAGCAGAGAATTGAATCCGCCCGGGGAGGGGGAGACCAGGAAGAGCAGAGTAGTGAGGGGGGAGGGGGGCGTCCTGAAGTCCCGGCACGTGAGTCACGGGGGGCCCTCCCGCGCACCGGGGTCACCGGTATTTCCCAGGTAGCGGGAGCTGTGGAAGGACGGATGCAATGACAAATAGTCTGTTTTAAAGCTAACAGGGCATGTCTGCCCGGCTGCCTAGTGGAAACCTCTCTAATCACCAGAGAATGAAGGATTCTCCTCCCTCCCCACCCCCCCCCCCCCTTCCTTCTTTCATCTCTACAGCTGCGCCTGCAGCCGCTGCTCAGAAATGAGAGCTGCCCGCAGATGTTCCTCGGGGCGAGCCCGGCCGCAGGCCGGCGCGGGGGCCTGGACGCCACCATCAGGGGCGTCGGGGTGGCCGGCTGAGCCTCCTGGGCCCGGCCTGGTTTGGGGGCTGCTGCCCGGGCCCACCCCCCGTGACCTCGTTCCCAGGTGCCTGTCATAAGCTTGGCAGGGCTCCAGCCAGACTGGCGCGTGGGTCTGGCTCTCTGGACCCCCTGCCTGCCAGCCCACCCCTCCCCCCGCCTCTCCAGCTCCTTGTTTGTCCTCGGCCGGGCTGGGAAGGTACCATCTGGCCCAGCCGCCTTCAAGCAGGGCTTTGTCCTGCCGAGGGTTGAAGGGGGCTTCTGGGGACGGCGTTGAGCTGGGGCTGGTGCGTTCGGGGCCCCTCCCCTGGGACAGGGGCTGCCTGGGGCCCCTCACTCTGCTGTTTGATTCAGCAAACAGTGCTGGAAGCGCGAGGAAGCGTGTGGTGGCCTGGAGTTGCCTGGAGCTTGTCCCCAGATTTTGTCCTTAAATCGAGGTCCCCTCGAGGACTTCACTGTCCTGGGCTGACGGTGGAGGCCCTTGGCTGCCGTCTTCCTCCTACTGCGGCCTGAGGGGAGGAGGGGCCTTGCTGCCAGCCTGGAGGCAGAGCCCAGGTCCCCCCGGGTCCCATCACCCCGGGCATTTATCGGGGGAGCCGCCCTGGCACCTAGGGGGCCTCTGGCTGCAGCCACTGCGTCCCCGTCCAGAGAGCATCTGAGGGCCATGCCGTCCCTTGTTAGTCCATCCCAGACGTCGGGCACAGGGCCTCTCCACTCCACGGTGGCCCCCGTGAGGGGCAGCCCCAGAGCAGCTGAGGCGCCTCGTCGTGGGGGTCAGCACTTGTGCTGGCCTGGCCCTGTGCCCGCAGAGGGAGGGGTGCGAGGGGGACACGGCACGCTGAGGACAGCCCCTTGGGTGGTAGTGTCAACGGGGAGCGCGAGAGGGCGGAGGGGGGTGGGCTAGGAGGTGCGGCTGCTTGTGCGAGAGCCCCGCTTCCCGTGTACACCTGTGCACCCACCCCTGCTGCTCTGTGAGCCGCCGCTGTGATTGCACGTTTGACAGCTGGGGGAACCGAGGCCCGGGGCAGTTATGGGAGCCGTGCAGGGTCTCCAGGACGAGACGGAGCCACCCCGCGCCGGACCCTGTGTAGAAGGCTCATAATACCCGGGCGGGGGTCCCGGGCTCCCTGCCCTGACCCGGGCTTGGCGCACGCGCGGGTCCCACCCTTAGCTGCCGCTTCGTGGCCACCCATCCCGGGGAGGGCAGGTCGGAGTTCACGCACCACGAGGGCCCCGCCGTGAGCGGAGGGGCTGCGCCCACACATGGGAACAGATGTGGCCGCTCATTAAAAACTCCAGTCAGCGGCCTGTCTCCTCCAATTAGTGATCACTGCCGCGGCGCCCACCCACCAGCACGCTTGGTAAACACGGTGACGGATGGGCCCCTCGTGCTCCGCGGGGTCACCGTCTGCTGGTGTGGAGGTGGAGGGGTCGTCCAGGGGGCTGCGCAGTCTGTCTCCTGCCCCCCAACCCAGGGAGTGAGATGGCTGGGGGTCTCTGCTGCCCCATCTCCTGACTCTGACGGGAAGGTTACTGGCAGAGTCAGGGCTGGAGGGACAGTAGAGGGTGTCTCCTTGGGGACAGACTCTTGTCACCGCCCCACGTACAGTGGTCATTCCTGGACACGCGCCACATCAGTGAGGAGACAGGGCTGTGGCCCAGCGGCAACACCGTGGGTTTGGGGTGGACGGACCTGGGCCCACGCCCTGCTTGCGGCAGTGGGTCAGGGGCGGCCGGGCCTGGCGCCAGGTGGCGGGCGTCGTGCCATCTGGCCAAGGAGGGGCCGGGTTGTGGAGCTTTCGGGGCTCAGGGGAGGCCTGGGCCGAGATATCCTCACCCTAGGCTGAGCAGGGTGTCACGGTGACGGAGCCCCCAGACTGGCGCCCGCGTCCAGGGCGAGAGCCCCCGGCTGCTGTTGGCGCTCAGTGCCTGCTGTGCGGCCCCCTCTCAGCCGTGTGAATGACCCCAACGACAGAACCTTTCGATGTGTTGCAGACACTCCTGTGGGCGGGCGTGCAGGACGTTCCTCCGTGTGGCCGGGGGTTCTGGGGGCCGCCTCCTCCCCCGTCCTGCCTTGCGTGAGCACTTTCTGGTTTCTCGGGAGTCTGCCTTCCCCGCCAGGCCCCAGGTCACTCTCTGTGTCCGGGAGTCTGGGGCAGGCGGGCCCACAGCCCTGCCCCCATCAGTGTGCAAAGGCCCCAGACAGCTCTGGCCAGTTGTGCTCTGGTCGGTGCCCCGGCCACCCCAGGGTTTGTCCGGGGGACAGGTTGGCATGCCCTGCCCAAGGGCAGCAGCAGCTTCTCGGCCACGTCCTCCATGGGCATCGTGGGCCGAGAGGTATCTGTGACGCAGGCCGGCAGCTGGCAGCACAGCTGACGCCTCGGCCCCTCGGGATGCCGGCACGTGCCTGGCGATCAGTGGCCAGGGGCTCCGCGTGGTTCTGTCACAGCCGCTGCAGTGCAGAGCTCACCGCCGGGGGTTGGGGGTGTGTGCGGGGACCACCGTCATCCAGCTCCCGCGTCTGAGTTTGGAGCAGCTGTGACCTGTCGGAGATCCGTGCTGGGAGGGCATGGGTGGCCCTACTGTGCTGTGTCCCCTGGCGGGCACTCTTCTGGACCCCAGTCCGATTCTGGGGCGTCTGTCCTTTCCTGTCGCCCAGATGTGTTTCAGTCCAGACCCCCCCATCATTGGAACCCGTGTCCTCCCTTCTTTCTGTTTCGCCTGCCACGCCGCTCATACCGCAGGTTTGGGTGGAAAAGCGTAAGGAAAGGCCATCTCTAGATCGTGCTCTAAAGCTTGAACCCTCCCCCCCCACCCCGAGTCTGGAGGAAGGCCTGGCTCGTCGTTGGCCGTGGTCGGAGCCGCCCGCCCCTGCCCTGACCCGCTCTTTCTGTCCTCTAGCAAGACGCTGGCTCTCGGGGCAGTGGCAGCGGTCGGGAACGCCTCATCGTGGAGGCCCCGCTGCCCCAGGAGAAGGCAGGGGGCCCGGCCATCCCCTCCCACCTGCTCAGCACCCCCTACCCTTTTGGCATCTCCCCCAGCTCGGTGGTGCAGGACTCCCGCTTTCCTCCGCTGAAGTAAGTGCAGGTCGGGGCCCGGGGAGGGCACGCGTGCTGGGCTCTGGACCCCTGAGGCTCTGGCCGCCAGGCCAGCTGCACCAGCTGAGCCCAAGAGCCGCCAGATGGTGGCTCAGCCCCGGGCCGGCAGCCCCGTCTGCGCCTGCTGGCCGTTTCCATGCTGAGCCGACGGCTGGCTCTGCCGTCTGCCCGACCCTAAACCCCCAGTCTGGGGCTCCTGGGGCCAGGGGTCCCTCCAGGCCGCGGATAGCGGCCCTGCGCCCACTTGGTGAGGACGGCAGGGGGCTGGGGGGGCCCAAGGAGCAGCAGCTGCCCACCTGTTCCCTGGGCCTCCTGCCAGGACCTGTCCTTGCGAGGGAGGCATGGTGGAAGTACCGGGAGGTTGGCCCGTTTCCCGGCCTGGGGCTCACCTCCGCCTTTCGTCCTCTGTCCGTCCCTCCCGCAGCCTCCAGCGGCCCGTGCACCACGTGGTGCCCCCCAGCACGGTGACGGAGGACTACCTGCGGAGCTTCCGGCCCTACCACACCGCTGAGGACCTCCGCGTGTCCTCCCTGCCTCCCCTGGGCCTGGACCCGGCCACCGCCGCGGCCTACTACCACCCCAGCTACCTGGCCCCGCACCCTTTCCCCCACCCGGCCTTCAGGTGAGGCGCCCCAGACCTCCCCACCCACCCTTGGGCAGACACTGCTTGGGGCCAGATTCCCAGGGAGACCCCAGGCGGCCGCCCCTCCCAGCCCTGCAGATGAGCCGTTAGGACTTTCCCCCCAGAGGGAAATTCTGTCCGAGCTGGCCTCGCCCCAGCCCCTCCCTCTCCCGCCATCGGCTCCACTGGTGCACTTACGCGTTAAAGCGCAGAGCGCAAGGTTTGTGTGCGACCAGGAAACCCCGCTGGAGACGGCGCTGGACCACTGCTCTACGTAGAAGCTTCCTGCGTCCTCCGTGACGGGTCGGCAGTTATGCTGTGGACCACCCCACCCCAGACCTGGAAGTCTCCTCACTTGGCCTGGGGTGGCCAGCAGGGCCTCGGAGCCCTGAGCTGTTACCATCTGTTGGCCTCTGGGAGGAAGGGGCTTTGGGTCTGGCTGTGGGTGTGGACCCTTTCTCCAGGGCCTTCGTGGAGGCTCTGTGGCCGTCCTGCCCTGTCCAGCGCCCCTGGATCAATAACCGTACCTGGCCGGGGCACCTGGTGGTAGGGCTGGGTCTTGCCTTTTTTCCTTTACGTTCCGTGTTCACTAGCCCCATCTTCTCGCACAGGATGGACGACTCCTACTGCCTGTCGGCCCTGCGGTCCCCCTTCTACCCCATCCCCACCCCCGGCTCCCTGCCCCCACTGCATCCATCAGCTATGCATCTCCACCTCTCTGGGGTCCGCTACCCGCCCGAGCTCTCGCACTCGTCCCTGGCAGCGCTGCACTCGGAGCGGATGTCCAGCCTCAGTGCCGAGAGGTAAGTCCCGTCCCAGGCCGGGTGTCTTCTGCTCTTCCCTCCCCGGATGGCAGAGCCTGGCTGGGCCGTTCGTGTGTGGCCAGGCGGGCTCCTTGGCCACTCGGGTCCTGGGTCTGTTCGCCTGCACACGGGGCGGTGATGGTGGGTGCTCTGAGCTCCTGGCCAGTGCCTGGCGAGGCTGCATCCTCAGAATCTCCAGCCCCCGGCAGTGAGCTTTCCATGGCGCTTCGGGAGTTGGTGCACAACTTTTGATCTAATGGACTTTGAGTCTCTTAGCGCGTTAAACTAGAGTAGAACCCGCCTCACCTCCCGTCACCGTTCGGATGGGAATGCTGGCTTTTTCACGAAAACCTTGGTCTCGGGTGTCAGCTCCTTGCTTTTGGGGGTTCTCCCTAGCGGCCCGGCCCGGCCCCGAGCGCCCCCGCACATCTCCCTCTGCTCGCCCCGCAGGATGCAGATGGACGAGGAGCTGAGGCGGGAGCGCGAGCGCGAGCGCGAGCGGGAGGCTGACCGCGAGCGCGAGAAGGAGCGCGAGCGTGAGCGTGAGAAGGAGCGCGAGCGTGAGAAGGAGCTGGAGCGTGAGCGGGAGCTGGAGCGTCAGCGGGAGCAGCGGGCCCGCGAGAAGGAGCTGCTGGCCGTCAAGGCGCTGGAGCCGGCCTTCCTGCCCGTGGGCGAGCTGCACGGGCTACGGAGCCACGCCGCTGAGGAGCGGGGCAAGGCCTCGGAGCAGCTGACCCCAACCCGAGCAGGTACCCGAGAGGAGGACCGTGCGTGGGGAGCTGCGTGCTGGGGGGCTCCCCGAGGAAAGGGCCCTGCCGCGTAGCGTCTGCCCGCCGGCCTGGAGCAGATTCACACCATGCCTTTTGCAAGCTACGCGCCTGATGTCCCCGGACAGGGAGCCGGGGGGAGAGGCACACGACACAGAGAAGACAGATGTAGGTAGACAGCTGAAAGACTGTGCACCGTGGTAAAACGTGACATAATTCTTAGGAGGGGATAGTTTTAAGTATTTGTTAGCTTTAGTTTTTTTTCTTTTTTGCCGTACGCGGGCCTCTCACTGTTGTGGCCTCTCCCATTGCGGAGCACAGGCTCCAGACGCGCAGGCTCAGCGGCCATGGCTCACGGGCCCAGCCGCTCCGCGGCATGTGGGATCTTCCCGGACCGGGGCACGAACCCGCGTCCCCTGCATCGGCAGGCGGACTCTCAACCACTGCGCCACCAGGGAAGCCCTAGCCTTAGTTTTTAAACATTTTATTTTATTATACGTACGCGTAATCTAACTTGTAGCAACCGGCTCGGGTGATTCCCAGAGTTCAAGTCTGCTTTGGCGTGTGGGCGTGAGCCTGCCCCACACACCCACACCCAGCGTGTCACCCAGATGAGGCGAGTGCCCGGGAGCATCCATGCCCCTGGCTGTCTTGGCCCAGCCGCGGGGAGGCCCTTGGAGGGTGGTGCATGTCTCCTCCGGGAGGACGGGCAGCGGGGAGGGACTGAGCCTGGCGCTGAGATCCCGCCGTGACAGCCTTTCTCCCCCACAGAGAAGCTGAAGGACGCGGGCCTGCAGGCGCCCAAGCCCGTGCAGCACCCCCTGCACCCGGCGGCCGCCCCGCACCACCCCGTGCCCGGCCTCCTCTCCACCCACGGCCTCTTCTCTCTGCCGGGCAGCAGTGCGGCCACGGCCCTGCTCCTCCAGCGCACCAACGAGGAGGAGAAGTGGCTGGCGCGGCAGCGGCGGCTGCGGCAGGAGAAGGAGGACCGCCAGTCGCAGGTGTCTGAGTTCCGGCAGCAGGTGCTGGAGCAGCACCTGGACCTGGGCCGGCCGCCGGCGCCCGCAGACGCGGAGCACAGGCCTGAGAGTGCCAGGTGGGCCCGGGGATGGGGGCGGCGTCTGCACGAGGGAGCCTGCGTGTTGCCACTTGTCTAACCCCCGCTTTGGCCTGGAGGAGGGAGCGGTGAGGAGGGAAGGCGGTTGCTCAGGGGCGTCCATCCCCGAGTAACCTGTGTCTACAGCCTCGGCCCAGCTGCTTCCCAGCAGCGACGCTCGCGGCGCCTGAAGGAGGGCGACGGAGAATTTTCATTCAATAATTATGTCCTTTCCATCTCCCTCTGCCCAAACTTTTTTTTTAATGAGAAGGGGGACTCCCTTTAATTTTTAATCAAACAAAAAATTAATTTTACTGCTTTTGTAATTTTAAAAAATACCCGTTTTTCCAGCCCCGTTCTAAAAAATTTCCAAGAGGCCTTTGCACCTGTCTCTGGGACCCCTGGCTGCCGACACCTGCCTTGTGAGCTGGGCTCCTTCTTCTTCCAGCTGCCCGTGGGGCCTCCCTGCTCCCCGTCTGCTGATCTGGCTGTCACCTTGTGTCCCCGACCCCACCTTCCCTCCCTCCAGGGCTCACTCTGAAGGGCCGGGCTGAGACCCACACCAGAGGTGGTGGCGAGAGCCTGGCCAGGCCTGGGCACACTGGACCCCACTCGCCTTCTCCGGGCCCATCTCCCTCAGCTTTGCACAAAGGAGCTTGGGTGGGAGGATTTCTGAGCCTCTTGCCAGCCCCTGGTGTCCATGGTGCTGGGTTTCTGGGTCGGAGGCGTTGTAAATGTCCACTTGTTCCCTCCCTCTTTCTCCAGCTTCTCGCTGACTGGTGGGTTTTTTTCTGTGTCCTGGGCATGGCTGGCCCGTCCAGCGGTCTGCATCCTGCCTCTGCATCCACTGAGGGGATTCGCTTGCTAGTTGGGTGTGACCGGGAGTGCACTGTGGCCAGGCCCCTGCCTGGGTCTCCTACCTCCTCCGGCCTCTGCTCCGCTCAGCGTGGCCACAGCGAGGTCTGTGCTGCAGACGGTCCCTCTGCTTCTCTGGGCCCGTCCGAGGCTATACAGGGGCTATCTCGTCTGCTGCTGAGCTGCCCTCTGTTCCTCTGGTCCCCGTCACACCCAGGGGACTGGGCGAGCAGTCAGCACACGTCCAGCATCTCCTGATAAATTCAGGGCGTGCTGACACCCGAGGGTGGCTTTCTCTGCTTGGGGTTGCAAGATCCCAGCGCAGCTGTCAGGGCCTGTGTGCTGCTGCCCCCAGCGGGGGTGGCCTCTGCCTCGGTCCTCACCTGGCCTCGGTGGTCCCCACAGCAGCGCAAACCTGATGGTCTTGCGGGCCCTTGGGCTCCGGGTTAGAAAACCAGGCTGTGCCTGGCTACAGCACGTGCAATATTGCTTCGCTAACAGGTTTCATTCCTCTGCTGTTTACTTGAGGACTTAGCGCTTCTCGATGTGGTTCCCTTTCGTATCCGCCCAGCAGAGGTGCAGTGGCCTTGGTGGCTCTGATTAGCCGGCCCCCTCCTCGGCCAGGCAGGCGGAGCCCTGGGAGACGGCTGCTCACGTGCCTGCCGTGGCCTCTGCCCTTCCCCTTCCGTCCCCTCAGACCTTACCCTCGGTCTCCATGGCAGCGTGGGGCTTCCCTTAAGAAAATAGATAAACTTTGGAGAAACAGCGGCCACGTAGTCCTCTGGAAGGTGAATGTTGTTTTAAATGCACCGAGGAAAGAGGCCCTTAGTTTGGCTTCGGGGCAAAGCTGTGTGTCTGATGGAAGGTCCTCTCCCTCCCTCCCTGTGTGTGAGGGGCACGCGTTCCGGCAGGTGGCCTGGCTCCCTGGACAGGCCCCAGCCCGGGCCTTGAAGACCCTCTGGGCGTAGCTGCCGGCTGTGAGGGTGTCCATGGAAGCAGGTCTAGGCCGGGTGGGCCCCCGAGGCCGGCCTCTTGCTGCTGTCTGGGAGCACGGAGGGAGAGAGGAGGCCGGGCCCCCTCCGCGTGGCTCGCCTGGAGTTGGGATCACCCGGGGGCGGGTCTGTTCTCAGCGTGCTCGGAATTCAGGAAGCGGTGGCACAGGGTGAGCTGCTGTGAGGTCGCTGGTGAGAGACGGGCTCGAGCGGGTCTGGCCGGGCCGGGACTGTCTCTGCCCTAGACCCGCAGAGCCCATGTCGGGCTCCCTGTTCTCTCCAAAGCGGGCCTGCACACGCCTGCCGCGAGCTGTCCACAGAGAAGGCGGCGGAGCGGAAGGCCCGTCCTCCCTCCAGCCCTGGGACGTGGCCCAGAGGAGGCCTCCTGCTCGCCCCTCCAGCTCTGGCCGGCTCGGGGCTCCCGGCAGGCGGCCTGGGGGCCAGGGTGGCTGGCGCGCCTGGGCCCTCGCGGCTGATGGCTGCTTCCGCTCCCTTCGCAGGCCGGGACCAAACCGTCACGAGCCGGGAGGCCGCGACCCCCCGCAGCACTTTGGCGGCCCCCCGCCCCTCATCTCACCCAAGCCCCAGCACCACTCGGTGCCCACGGCCCTCTGGAACCCGGTGTCCCTGATGGACAGCACGCTGGAGACACGGCGCGCCCCCGAGGGCCACCCTCTGCACGGCCACCCTGCCCCGTTTGAGCCCAGCCGCCAGGCGGCCGTCCCGCTGGTGAAGGTGGAGAGGGTCTACTGCCCCGAGAAGGCGGAGGAGGGACCCCGGAAGCGAGAGGCCGCCCCCCTGGACAAGTACCAGCCGCCGGCCCGCGAGGCAGGGGGCCTGGAGCAGCAGGCCTTCCCCCCCGCGCCCGCGCACTTCCTGGCGGAGCTCGAGCCGTCCACCCAGACCGTCCTGGGCCAGCCCCGGGCCCCGCTCGCCCCGCCGGCCCCCTTCGGGGAGACCCCCGGGCCCCTGAAGCCGGGCTCGCCCTACCGGCCCCCGGCGCCCCGGGGCCCCGACCCCACCTATGTCTACGACGAGTTCTTGCAGCAGCGACGGAGGCTGGTCAGCAAGCTGGACCTGGAGGAGCGCCGGCGGCGGGAGGCCCAGGAGAAAGGTCTTGTCCCTGGCGGCCGCGCCCTCCCTCCTCCCTCCTCCCTCCTTTTCCCTCCTCCCTCTGGCTTTCTGCCCCGGGGTCTCAGCAGCTCCAGGGAGCAAGTTCACTGGCTTCTGCCTGACACTTCTGGGAAGACAGACCTGGGCCCCTCGTCTGTCCTGCCACAGTGCGTGTTATCCCGAAAAGCCAAATTGTAGACTGTGAAAACAGTTCCACAGACACGCACATTTAATAGGTGATGAACAGAGGCCAGTAAGACGGTCTGAAATATTAACACTGCAGCATAAAGGGGAGGCGGCTGTCGAGAGGGTGGCCCAGGGCCCGGCAGGGACTCCTCTCCTGGGGCTGCCGTCCCAGTTGCAGGCGGGTGGGCGGCCTGGGGGCGGGGGAGGCGGGAGCTCTGGCTGCCTCTCCTTCCTGCTTCTGCACAGGGTGGGGTGGGACTCAGCCAGCGGCACCCTGGGTTCCCCAAAGAGCTACGGAGAACAGGCGAGCAGGCCCAGGGCAAGCATGGCTGTCCCCTACCTTCAACCCCTGTCAGACCAGGAGGGATCAGGGGTCCAGACCAGTTTCTTCTGCATGGTATTAAATTCCGCTTCTTAGCCGGAAGCGGGGGCCAAGGCCAAGCGAGTCTTGGTTGGTCTACGTTGTTGGTCTAGGCTAAATGTAGAGCCCCAGGAAGCTTTCTCTGCTCCACTCACCTTGTGAGAAGGCGGGGGGAGAGCCCCGGTGCCCTCGGGTGCAGGGGTTCTGTTCTTTGCACAGGAGTTTGCATGTATGCTCTATACCTTTGAGGGGACGGGGACCTGAGTGTGCCTGTCCCCTCTCGAGCAGGAGGGAGTGGATGTGCACAGACAGCCTTGGGCTGCCGTGGACGTGGCCCCGGGCCTGTGTGATGAACGGTCCCCTGCTGGGGGATCGGTGCTGGCCAGGAGACCGCGTGGTCACTTGGGGTCTGGATCCAAGGGAAGCCTGGTGCCTGCTTTCTGCCCCCCACCTGCCAGCCCTGAGAAGCCTTAGGACTAGGGGTTAATGCACATTTCCACCTGGGGTGAAAGGAGTCTGGCTTTGGGGGTGCTCAAAGGGCGGTAGGGCCTGGCCTGCCAGGTGGAGTGCCCTGTGTGTGCTCACTGGCGAGTCGAGGCTCCCTGCCCAGCTGAGTAGATCCGTTCCACCTCCAGGATACTACTATGACCTGGACGACTCCTACGACGAGAGTGATGAGGAGGAGGTTAGGGCTCACCTCCGCTGCGTGGCCGAGCAGCCGCCCCTCAAATTGGACACGTCCTCCGAGGTATCTGGGGCTCGTCGCTGCGGGCAGGCGCGGGGCTGGGCTGCTGGCACTCACCTCGGTGCCTGCCTCTGGGCTTTCCCACGCTCGTTGGGACGCCGTCAGGGCCCTCCTCCTCCCAGGCCCGGCACGGAGTGGCCACAGCACAAGAGCTTCGAGGACCCCAGGAGGGGCCCCTGGGTCAGTGGAAGCACGCCACTGCCAGTGGTTTCAAACTCATTTGTTTTCTTTCCCAATCTAGAAGCTAGAGTTTTTGCAACTTTTTGGCTTGACCACCCAACAGCAGAAGGAGGAATTGCTGACCCAGAAGCGGAGGAAGCGGCGGCGGATGCTGAGAGAAAGAAGCCCGTCGCCCCCGATGGTTCAGAGCAAGCGGCAGACGCCTTCACCGAGACTGGCGCTGTCCACCCGCTACAGCCCCGACGAGATGAACAGCAGCCCCAACTTCGAGGAGAAGAGGAAGTTCCTGACCATCTTCAACCTGACCCACGTCAGCACTGAGAAGAGGAAAGGTGAGGCCTGGGTGGGGCGGGGCCTCGCCAGGAGGGCTGAGGGTCTCTGAGGAAGGAGGCGGGGCCGCGGGCTCCTGGCGGCGTCCTGGGGCTCTTGGGCTTCCTCTCGGCTCCCCTCTGCTCTCACAGACTTGCCTCACTGTCTCCGCTGTCACACTTCTCTCTCCGTCGGAAACTTGCACGGCCCCCTTCAAAGCCTGTTTGCTCTTGTCTCATCCCGGGTGGGATTGAAGACGCGCTGATGTTCTGTGCACAGCCCACCGTGAGCTTGCTGGCTGCTCTTGGCCCTCGTCAGGCCTCCCAGCACGTTCAGCCCGCCCTGCGTGTGGGGTGGACGTGCGCCTTCCCGAGCAAGGTGCTCAGGCTTCTTGGTAGCGGGCGTTTTCTCTTGGCGGCCGCTCTCGTGGCCGCTGGGCAGAGCCGACAGCCACTGAGTGGACAGTTTGCCCTGAGAGATGCTTCCAGATCGCTCTGGCCACCAAGGGCCATGTCGGGGCCGACTCTTGGGCTGGAGCCCGTGGTGCGGTCTGAACACTTTCTGGGGCACCTGCTGCCTTGGTGTGCTGCTCACGCTTGCTCAGTGCCAGGATGGTGGCGCAGGTGAAAACTAGGCCTTCCTGGGGTGCGCACCCCCACGGTCCCCTTGCTGGCACTCGCTCCCCTCTTTCCAGAAGGAAGAGGAAAGCAGAAGTGCTTCTTGGTCATCTAGTTACTTCCACTTATTTCGGTAGCGGGGGTGTAGCATTCAGTTACTGTGTTGAACCAGTGAGCTGGCGTTCTTGCTTTCTCTTGAAGGGGCAGTGACACGATTACCAGGGCAAATCCCTGGGAACGCGCATAGTTTTGTCTGTAAAGAGAATCTTTGTGCCTGGCTTAGTTCCTGGAGGAAGCCGCCGGCGATGTGGCCACTTAAGTTTCAGTCCGCGAGAGGCCCCTGAACTGTGTCGGGAATCTGTGGCATCAGATGTCACCAGGTCGGTGTCCCTTTTCCCTAAACGGCAGCCGTCGTGGGATTCGCACTCGCGTGGCAGGCGGCGGGGAGGAGACTGTGTCAGGAAGCAGCCTGTGCTTCCCAGGGTTCTGTGGGGCTCTTCGGGGTTGCTTCCTGTGTCGGAGCCAACTTTTTTCTCTTTTAAATAAGAATTCCTTCCCAGAAGCTCGCAGGTACCAGTCATTCGCTGCACACACACAGCTGTTCTCGAACACACCTGAAATGTTATGTAGTAAAAGCTGAGAGGAATCTGGGCTCGCTGTAAAGTGCAGTTTCTTCCTCTAAACCTAGCCCGTCCCCGTGGCTTTGTGTTTCTCGTTCTAAAGGACTCGCGCCTGCCGGTCGCGGCCTGGGCTGGACTCCTGCTCTCCTTCCCTCCCAGGAGTGACACGATCCTCTTGTTAATCTCGGGCTGCTTTTCTCATAGACAAAGAGAGGCTTGTTGAGCTGCTCCAGGCCATGAAGCAGAGGGCGCTGTCAGCAGCGGTGGCAGACCCGCTCAGGAACTCTCCGAGGGACAGTCCTGCTGGGTCCCTGAGCGGTAAGGCCAGCCCCATCCGCCACCGCCCGGGACTGTCCCGGGGGCTGCCCAGGGTCAGAGGCCACCACCCCAGGTCGTCTTCCTCCTGGACACAGCGTGTGCTTCTTTCTCTCCGTCTCTCTCTCAAGCTTCCTGCGCGTGGGAAGGATCTCCTCGGCCGCAGCGCGAGCCTTGGCCGTCGGGGCTCTGAGGGCTCAGGGGGAGGGTCCCGGCTGCGGCAGACTGTGCCCGGTGGTCGGCGTGGCTCTGGCCGCCGTCCGTCCGCCCAGCGGTGGCCCGGGTCTCAGCACCTGCTGCTTGGGCTCTGTGCTCCCGTCCATCTACCCTTCGCCCTCCTCCCGGCGTCTCTGTCTTGCTTTTTCTGCCTTGCAGGCCCCTCCAGTACCTGCTTTCACACCTTCTGTCTCTCTCTTTTGTGGCTCTGACTCTCCTGCACTGTCCTGCTGACGGAGCAGGAAATCTTGTTGGTCTGGCCCTGTTCTCAGCTCTTAACTGGATCTTTCCGGTCGGGTCGGGCTACGTAACTTCCTGCCTTTCGGATGACTGGAAGTGACTTGCTTCTTCCTTCAGATTCTTCTTCTGCCTCTCAGATGCCCTCCTGGGGCACCTCTCAAGGATGGCCTTGCTGCTAAACACACCCCGTCTCAGACCACACAGTGCACACTGACCTTTAATTAAATGGCTCCGGAGTCCGGGTCCTTTGTCCTAGGTCTTCATTCAGTGTAAGCTCTAGACATCAGGGTTGGCCCGTTCACATTTGCAGGTCTTAACGTGTTCCTCACTTTCTGTCTCTAAAAGAACCAGCCACGCAGCAAGCCTCTCTGGATACGGAGAAGCCTGTGGGTATCACTGCTTCCTTGTCTGACACCCAGAAGGCCACGGAGCCTGGGAGACTGGAACAGCTCCGGCCCCAGGAGCGAGTCCCAGAGCCAGCCCCCGCCAGCGGCGAGAAAGCCAGGCCGAGCGAGACCCCTGGGGGCAGGAAGAGCCTGAGCATGCTCCACTACATCCGGGGCCCCGCGCCCAAGGACATCCCCGTGCCGCTGTCCCACGGCATCAACGGGAAGAGCAAGCCGTGGGAGCCCTTCGTGGCGGAAGAGTTCGCGCATCAGTTCCACGAGTCCGTCCTGCAGTCCACCCAGAAAGCCCTGCAGAAGCACAGAGGTAACGGGGCCGCCTGGCTTTGTTGAGGAGCGCCGCTCGGGGTGTGTGAGGCACCTGGCGGTAGAGGCGGGCTTTGCCTTTGCGGGTCCGGGGTGGGGCCTGAGAGCGCACCGCTTGGAGCGGGTGCCCGGGTGCTGCTGCTTCGTGGACCACACGTCAGGGAAGCTTAGCAAGAGAGGCCGTCTGAATTTAATAAGGCCCTTCGAGGAGGCTTTTCAGCAAAAACAGGATCCATGCCTTCTACAGCTGAATGATTTCCCAGCTTCCCCTACAGACTCACCTGGAAAGCTCCCTGTTCTTTGATAACTAGGCCCAGCGAGCACTTTGTGTGACACACTGGTTGCTCCAGCCCCATGTGTGAGCCCCCAGATTCATGCCCCTTGGACATTTTGGTGGGAATCACTGCAGGTCAGAGAACAGGGGTCAGTACATTTCATTCCCGTTGATTAGAAAAGAATCCTCAGTGATTAAATCACTACTGAGTGTAAAATAAATTTCTGTACACTCCAGTAGCCAGAAGAAAGTATAAAAGAAATTTTACTCCTGCAACCTAGAAGAGCTGACTATTAGACATACAGCTCTGACGTCAGTATCCTTCAGGTAAATTAATGCTGTCAGCAGAGATGAAATGATACTCAAAGCAAAAGGGCAGTGGTTTTCGCAGTGACCTTTGAAAACAACTCTCCAAGGCAGGAGGAGCGCTTTATGGGAAGTTTGTTGTGAATTTACTTGAACCGTATTTTTCCAGAAGGAAACGTTTTGACTGTGTGACTAGATCAAACCCCTCTGTGCTCCCCCCTAAGACACACCCACAGAGGCTTTTCGGTGGCCTGAGGACACATTTTTCCTGCCTCATTTCAACCATTCCCTGATGTTACACCTGTTTTGTCTGGACTTTAAAGTCACCCAGCCCTGACAGTTTGGGCCGTACCGGTCCACTGACTGCCCGAGTCTGCTGTCCACGCGGGGAGGACCTTTGCGCCTGTTAGACCACCAGCAGCAGGGCCACAAGGCAGAGCGGACCTTGTCTACACAGGCCCCCGCCAGTTAGCAGCCTCCTGGTAGCCGGCAGGGCACGGAGTGTGTTCAGGGACTGGAGCGTCTGCGTTTCCTGACGAGCGGGGGCAGATACTTACTGAGGGCCCACTGTAGACCAAGCTCAAACCCACAGTTTCACAGAACACGACTTCGGAAGCTCAGGGCCTAACACAGCTGAGCTCGTACCCGTGGTGCGATTAATTGAACCTAGGCCTGCTGCTGTCTTATTTATTTATTTATGGCTGCGTTGGGTCTTCGTTGCTGTGCGCGGGCTTTCTCTAGTTGCAGCGAGTGGGGGCTACTCTTCGTTGCGGTGCGCGGGCTTCTCATTGCAGTGGCTTCTCTTGTTGCAGAGCACGGGCTCTAGGCGTGCGGGCTCAGTAGTTGTGGCTTGTGGGCTGTAGGGCGCAGGCTCAGTAGTTGTGGCGCACGGGCTTAGTTGCTCTGCCTGCTGCCGTCTTTACGGCTCTTTTCAGCCCTCCTGATGGTGCCGTCTTCGGTCTCCGAAGGGCACAGGCCTCACCATGCTTCGTCTTGTCCGCGGCGAGACCTCAGTCACGCTGACTCCGTCGCCTGCCCCCAGCACAGGTCCCCATGGGCCCTGTGATGAGCCGTCTTCTCTTCCCCAGGAAGCGCAGCTGTGCTGTGTGCAGAGCAGAACCACAGCATCGACACCTCTGTCCACTACAACATCCCCGAGCTGCGGTCCTCCAGCCGGCTGCCTCTGCCCCAGCGTGACGGGCAGCAGGAGCCTCCCGCCGGGAGGAAGGGCCCCCTGGCACAGGAGGTGGACCCGGACTCAGAGGAGGAGGAGGACGACGACGGAGAGGACGACGACGAGGACCCCCCGAAGCGCAAGTGGCACGGGATCGAGGCCATCTTTGAAGCTTACCAGGAACACGTAGAAGGTACGCAGGGGAGCGGGAGGCAGGGCCAGGCGAGGGGCCCGGGAAAGGCAGGGAAGGAAAGCTTAACAGGCCAGTCAGCACCAGATTTTGTCACCGGGCTGGGGACTAAGTCATGGCACTAGCTCTCAGGGTTCTCAGGGTCCCTGGGCCACAACTAGGCAGAAACACTGGAAGGTACGTCTCCGTCAGCCATTTCACCTATTCCCAGAACCGTTCCTCAGGCTTCTGTGGGTGCCCAGGCTGGCTTACAGGGGCAGTTCCTCACGGACAAACGTGAGGCCATCCTCACTGGAGGAATTTAGGCACCAGGCGCCTGTCCCCACTCAGCATGACAGCGCAAACCTGGGCCTGCTCGCCCTCTGCTGTCTTCCATGCACTTCTAAACATTGTATCCGTCCTGACGCTTGTGGGTACGTACAAGGGTCCTGGAAAGTGCAAAGCTGCTTCATTTAGCCGAGCCCCACGTGGCCAGGCTGCTCAAGTGTGCAGCATCTGGGCGACGTGGTGGTGTCCCCCACATGCTCTGTGGTCCTCCTGGACTAGAGCTTTGTACAGGAGGCGAACCCTTGTTGGCCACCAGCATGTCAAAACCCAGGCCAGTGCCAACCCCAAATTCTGTTTATCACCATATCATACAGGAGTCTTAATTTTTATCATGAATAATCATGATCCTTTCAAATATTTTAAAACACGCCAAGTACAATCAAAAGGAATGCCAGTGTCAACTCCTACATTTTATTTACTTTTTATTGACGTGTATAGTTGATTTACAGTGTTGTGTTATTTTCAGGTGCGTAGCAGGGATTCGGTTACACATTCAGTTCTTTTCCATTATGGGTTTATCACAGAACATTGAATATAGTTCCCTGTGCTATACAGTAGGACCTTGTTGTTTACCCTATTTTATGTAGTATCAACTCCTACATTTTGCTTCCTTTTCTCCTTCAAATGAAACCCTCGTTTTGAATTTATTAAGTACATATATATCCAGAAGGATATGTGTTAATAGCATTCCTTTTTATTTTAACACAGTGACATGTATCCGTCTTTTCTGGGTTTATTTTTTGGTGCCTTGTTGGAATTCCTTGGTAACAAATGCATTTCCTTCTAAGTCTTCAAGTTCTGCTTTTCTTATGTGTAGAATTCATTTCTGTGGATGGAGTAAGGTAGAAGTGTAACTCCTTCTTTCCCACCCAGACAACCAATTATCCTGGAGGTTTATGGGGTACCCTCTTCCCCATGGGGTGTGCTCCTGGCAGGCAGTGTACCCCCCACGTGCCCAGGCCTGTCTCTGGGTGCTCTCCTGGCCTGTCCCTGTGTCACTGCCGTAGCGTTGCAGCTCCCCATTGTCTGGAGTAACTCACCCTGACTTCTGACAGCTCAGCTGTTCTTGGCCCTTGGCTTTCCCTGGTGAATTTTAGGATCGCCTTTTTTGTTCCACCCAAAAATGTTAGATTTTCAGGTACACTGAATTGATAGAGTTGGGGAAAATGGCCATCTTTGATGGTGATGTTATCCCACCTATGAATATGGCGTTACATCATTTTTGCTCCATGAGCGGCTGACTTTCCTTTTATTAGATCTAATTGTAGGTATCAGTTGTCACTGGGGATGTTTTAGTGTTTGTCGTCCCTTATTCGTTCGATGATCATGGATGATCAGGCCTGCCAATAAAAAGTTTCATTCTTTCCTTTTGAATTTTGTATACATTTCCTTTTTCTTGTCATGCTGTATCGCCTAGGATCATTTGTAGACTGTTGAACAGGGACACCCGTGGGGCTCTTTTCTGTGAAACTTTACAAGCGCTCCAGTAAGTTGCTGCTGAGTTTTCTGGTGTGCGGTTGTTGAAAGTCAACTAATGTATTTTCTAGATTTACTGAGGTGACAACCTTGTTTTTCACCTCTTGATGTTTTCTGATGTTGCTTGTTTACTCCTTGCTGAATTTGATTTGGTAGTACTTCTAAGATTTTTAATTTATATTCTTAATTGGTATTAGATTGATTTTATTGTACTTTACCCTGCTATCATGATTGTTCTAGCTTCTATAAAATCAGTCAGGTAGCCTTCCCTGGCTTCTACTCTCTGAAACACTTCATGTAAAGGAGGGATTTCTTTTTTTTTTTATTGGAGTAGAGTTGATTTACAATGTTAGTTTCATGCCCAGGAGTGGGATTGCTGGATCTTATGGTAATTCTTTTTTTAGTTTTCTGAGGATCCTCCGTACTCTTGTCCATCGTGGCTGCACCAGCTTATACAGGAGGGTTCCCTTTTCTCCACGCCCTCTCCAGCATTTATTGTTTGTAGATTTTTTGATGATGGCCGTTCTGACCAGCGTGAGGTGGTACCTCACTGTAGTTTTGATTTGCATTTCTCTAATAATTAGTGATGTTGAACATCTTCTCGTGTGCTTTTTGGCCATCTCTATGTCTTCTCTGGAGAAATGTCTGTTTAGATCTTCTGCCCTTTTTTTTTTGATTGGGTCTTTTTTTTTGATATTGAGCTGCAGGAGCTGTTTGTATATTTTGGAGACCAATCCCTCGTGGGTCTGATTATTGCAAATATATTCTCCCGTTCTGTGTGTTGTCTTGTCATTTTGTTTATGGTTTCCACTGCTGTGTAAAACCTTTAAGTTTTAAATTCAGTCCCATTTGTTTTTTATTTTCATGACCCTAGGAGGTGGATCAAAAAAGATCTTGCTGTAGTTTATGTCAGAGAGTTCTGTTTTCCTCTAAGAGTGTTATGGTATCTGGTCTTACATTTAGGTCTTTAATCCATTTTGCGTTTATTTTTTGTGTCAGGGAGTGTTCTAAATTTCATTCTTTCACATGTAGCTGTCCACTTCTTATCGAAGAGACTGTTATAGCAGGGATTTGTTCTTGATGGTTTGAAGTCACTCTCCTGTTAAAACCAGGCTCAGTATCTTTTGGAAAGGCAGAGATTTTAAAACTATAAATTTTTAACAGCTTGAAAGTTTTCATATCTAACCCTTATCTTTTTATCTTTCTTTTTGAAAAATGCATTTTAAGGCTATACATTTATCCTTAATTACTTCCTAACCTGTATCCCTTAAAATTGCCTTTCAATGCTAGATCCTTGGTTCTCATTCCACTGGGTTGGATTTACTTTAGTGATACTTAATGTACTTACCAGCATGATGGAAGGGCTGGGAGCAGTGTGGTCCAAAGGAGAGGACTTTGCTGGCGGCTCTAGAGAGAGGGGAACACTCGCCAGGCCTGTGGCCCCTGCGTACAGGAAATGTGTCAGCATCACTTGTCTTTTCAGAGCAAAATCTAGAGCGGCAGGTGTTACAGACACAGTGCAGGCGGCTGGAGGCCCAGCACTACAGCCTCAGTCTCACGGCCGAGCAGCTCTCCCACAGCATGGCGGTGAGTCCCAGGGCACCACACGTGGGGGAAAGGAATGAAAATCGGCTCCTGGGGGGTTTTCTTAAACACATAATGCTTATTTTTGTTCAGCCTTTCGAGTCTGGGTTCAAGAGCACCCACACAGACAAGTTTTGAAGGGAAATTGTGCCCTTGAGAGATGAAAACAGTCTCAGCCTAAGGAGGGAAGCGTCATTCATTTGCAGACTATTGATCCTGGAAGGGTGACGATGCTGTGTATATATATCGCCTGTGTCAAGTCTCCCCCCTCCTGTGATTTGCTCAGGAAGATGGAGGGAGGAAAGCTCTTGAAGCGAGTCGGACTCCCCCCGCAGCCAGGCTCAGCCCTGCGGCTGTGCTTCCTCCCGTGCACGGGATGGGGGCTTGTCTCAGATCGGGTCTCTTGGCCAGTCCTGAAGCAGCAGGACATAAGTTTTATAGCGGCAGGACTAATTTTTCATATCTCAGCGTTGTGAGACAGCAGGAGACCCTGTTCCTATGAGCGAGCGCAGGTACTGTAAGAATCCGAAACCTCGGGGACAGTCAGAGCTGGTTCTGAGTGCTGAAGGTTGGCCTCCAGCACATTCGTGCATTCCACACACACGTTTCCTTACCGCGTGAAATGAGTGCTTTACGTGAATTTCTCTCTCTCTCTCTCTCTCTCTCTCCAGGAGTTGAGGAGCCAGAAACAGAAGATCGTTTCAGAAAGGGAGCGACTCCAGGCAGAACTGGATCACTTACGGAAGTGCCTTGCGTTGCCTGCAATGCATTGGCCTAGAGGTTACTTTAAGGGATATCCTAGGTGACGGTTTCCCTTGCACTAGGCCGAACCTATAGTATAGAAATATTATCTATTTTATTACCTTGAATATTTAATATTTTTCACTGGGAGGTCTGAAGCTTAAAGAAATGAGAATGTGCCACATGCATGAAGCAAAGGATTCCAGGCTCCAGAAGAAAGAACGAACTCGCCTTGACTTCAATGCAATTGAATCGCCTTTGTAATTCAGCGAGCAACCCCTGTAGAACACCCAGTTTTTTCTTTTTAAAGGCAGTTTTATTCTTTCCCCACGTCATGATTTTTTAATCTGAAGATGAAAGGCTCCATTACCAACACTAAAATCCAATCGTTTCTAGCCCCTGGGTGTGTAGGACTGGACCGGACCGTCGGTGTTCTGTCTTGGTTGCCATGTGACTAGGCCTCGAGAACCCAGGTGGTTCTGGCTGCAGGGGGTGGTGGCCGGTCTCAGTCCTCCCCGGGACTGAGACCTACCTTCAGTGGAAGGGAGGTGGGGTGCATTTTTAAGTAAAGGGCTTATTTCAGTTACTTTTTCTGCAAAATTTTCTTCAAAGCAACAGGTCCTAGGAGCACACAAAGCAGCCGTGCTGAAGCCTTACCCAAAGGCTTTTCCCCAGAAAAGCTCTTACCTTACCTAAAGATAAAAAGCGAATCAACAAACTGAAGGTACCTTTCTATTACTTCACGGGGGAAAATGTACAGAGCTCTGTGTACACATTTATTCACACCCACCAGATTGTTACTGCGGTAGGGGTGTTTTCATACAAACGTAAATTTTTGAGAGGAAAGTCAAAGGTGCTTCAGCCTTGTACTGTGTATATATATTAAAAAACAAAGTTTTGTATGTTTTTATTACTTTAATTATTGTTATAAAAAAGCCTGCCATTTTTAATATGTGGTTTGGAGGGATTTTTGTTGTTTGTTTTCTTGTTTGGGGGTTTTGTTTGTTTTTGTTTTGTTTTTCTGGGCAAAAAAAAAAATCCTTGCTTTTTAGTGTTTGTACTGCTGCTGGTCAGGACGTTAAGATATTGAAGTGTTTTTAAAAAAATTAAAGAAGAAGAAAAGTAAAGAGCTTACCACTGGCGCCTATGCGATCACTTCATTTTTGAGTTGCACCAGAGTGATGATGTAGAAAGCCATGGTTACGCCTCACTTCCTCTTGCGCCCCGCCCCTGCTCCGGACAGCAGCCAGTTCACCACAGCCCATGCTACGAAGCGAGGAGGGGCGGGCTCCAGTGGGAGCCAGGTGGACGCTGTGTGTGCACCTTCACGCACGCAGGCGCACATGGGCTTCGTTAAGAGCCTTTGAGGAAGGGAGCGGCTGCTGGGACAGGATGCTGAGGTGTCTTACGGCAGTCTGCGCAGGTGCAAAGTAGAAACTGTATAGGGTTTATTTATTTAGATGCAAAGCTTTGTACCAGCCTGAAAGTAGGGTGAACAATGTCTGCGCAGAACTTCTCTTCTTGGACTGACTTACTGTGCCAACCACAGGAGCGGCTAGGAACGGGGATGAGGCAGGTTCAGGCGTGAAATCTAGATCAGGAAGGCATCTCTTGCCCAAGTGGGCCTGAACCAGAGGCCGAAGCAGCCAGTGGTGGTTGGTCTGCCCGGGGGGAGGGGGGAGGGGGAGGGGACCCGAGCATCGCGCCCCGTGCCGGGGAAGGGCTGGCTGACCTTCAGGAAGTGGCCACGCCCTCGGCCCCAGACCTCAGCTGCGCGGAACAGCTTGCTGGCAGATGGCGTTGTGTCACTTTATCTGTTCCCACACAGTTTGCTCTGTATATCTGCCAAGAATCTTCCAGTTATTAGCAAACTCAGACGAAAAGTGCCGCCAGTGTTAGCAGCAGTCAGCAAGTGCTTTTCTCTCTACAGAAACGACTTGACGAGAACTAAGGGCTCTTCCGGGGCCTCCTCCCCTGCAAAGACACAGAGCGCCATGTGCCACAGGTGGCGACAGGTGTTTAGAGGGAGCCCCACTGCCAACGATCAGGGCAAAACGTCACTGAATTTCTCTACCTAAAATCTGCTTGCTGGCTCTGAAGGCCTAAGGGTTACTACATCTTAACGCTTCCCCCCAGTCCTCCTAACTCCGTAGTAGAAAATGTCTGGATGCCTTTGCTCCTCGGCTCTGGTAGGGGTCCTGGCCAAAAAGCAAAGGGATGAGTAGATCTGACAACGTGCACAGCCCCATCCTGTTACCACCTGAGGGGAGCGCCTGTGTCTGCGGCTGTTTTGCTTTTGGGGAGGAGGACGCGGCACACAGGTTAAAGGGACGCCTGCCCAGGGGTGCAGCTGTGTCACTGAGCTAGAACTGCCTGCCTCCCCCCTGCCCCGCCTCTGAGCTGCTCCATCACTCTGCTTCCCCATACTCCCACTGACCTGTGAGGGTCTCTGGATATTCTAAGGCTCAAGAAGTAATAGGACAATCAGAATATAAATACAAACCCGTAAGGCAACATGAATAAACTAAGAAAAAGGAAACAAAGTGTCTTTCGAAAACAAAAGATTGGGTACTATGTCTCTGCACCACTGAGACATAGTACCCAATCTTGGGGGTTTTTTTGTTCCATTTAGTAATTAGGTTTATAATCTGAAAACACTTATTCTGAAAGAGCATGGTAGCATCAGAGCCTCTTTTCAGTTTGGGCTTAAAAACTGACAGAGAAATATGGAATCCCTGAAGCTTTCTGTTCAGCTGTTTCACACTGAGTTTGAAAGACAAAGTTCAGAAGTGCACCACATTTGCTCTAGAACTGATCATGCAACTTCTGTGTCAGTACTTTTGTGAACAGTCCTGCACGACCTGTGTCTTCCCACGGCACCTGGGAGAGACGGCTGCCGTCTACCCTCTAAAGGGGGTTTCGCTAAACCTGTGCAGGATGGGATCCCTTCCAAAAGTGAGTCGTGTGGTTCTGCATTTAATCAGATCATTAGCAACAACCCAGAGCTTTCCACCTAGAAACAAGCCAAACTGATGTGAACTATCGTAATCTTAATCCATTATCTCAGATAAGTGACCAAGATAGGCTCTTCAACAGTGTAGTCTATATTCTAAAGGAAACAAAACACTTAATTGGCATTAACATGCTCATAGATTATACACCCTCAGGGAAACTCAAAGAATATTAAAAGGAGCCGACACCTTCAGCAAAGTAGCGACGCATTAAAGTATTCCAACAGGAAGTTTTAAGTTTGTACGTGGGATGGTGTTTCGTCAAGTAGCTCACAATGCTGTCACATCTCCAACATTAGATTGCATACCCCCCTTCCCTCTGGGCCACGGCTTAAAGTGTAGCAAGTTCCAGGGACCTGCCACCAGATGGAGATGGTCAGCACCGCGATGCCGTTCATCGTACAGCGTGGATTGGCCACTTCGCAGCAGCCCTGTCCTCTTCCAAGTAACCACACTATCAGCTTTACTACTTGCAGTAGCCTGTCCCCAACCTTCTGATCCAGCGCTTAACCTTAACTCCTTAACTCTACCTTGACCCGAGGAAGACCATGCTAATCAATCAGTCGTGTTACTCTGTATGTACCTATGCTTAACTGCTAGAACAGTCAACCAGTACATGGAAGGAGGAGGAACAGTGCCTCGGTCACTCTGGGGGGCAGTTTAGATGCTGTGAAATTAAACCTGTTCTAAGTGTACTTGTTTGAATTAACTGTATTGTAATATTATTTGTTGAATGTAGTAATTAGGTATTTATGAATATATTGCTGTAATTTCTGACAACATCCAAAAAATAAAATCTTCCTAAATCATCTAAAGAGAAAAATCTTTTCTATGTTGTAATAAGGCCAAAAAATAAAAATAAGAGCTCAACAATTACACAGCTTTAAGGTAAAGTGTGAAGACACATTCGACTGTGCCTCGGCCAGGTGTTAAGAGAAGGGGATTCAGGGTGAAATCCGAGATACACAGGACTGCTAAACTGCCACAGTAACATGTGGTTTCATTCTAGAACATTCCCCAGATTAACTCTGAAGGATTCTGCATAAGAGAGAGATGAAAAGACAAGTCCTGTCATCTCTTAAGTGATGGAGACCAGGTCTTCTGGGTCCTCATCCCTCCACGTGCGGCCCTTTGGTGCTTAAACCATAGCTGCTTGAGCAACCTGAAGTAAGTTTGTATTTTAAACACTGAAGGGTAAAAACACCAGCAGATATTCTTTAGGCCCAGTTGCTCACGCACACGTACCCTTCATAACCCTCGAGATGGCATGTGACTGCTTTTGACTGACGGCGCTAGCATTGGAAACCAGCTGGTTACCGAACCTACTCATTACATGACGAGACGATCTCCCCCCCGCCGCCCCCTGCGGTAATGTACTTTTCTGTAAGGGACTGAGCAATGCTAGCGCTTAAACTTTTCCTCCTAGGGAAAAAAACCAATACCGTTACCTGAGCCACTGCTGCCTAGAACTGTCTTCCCCTCAGTTCATCAAGAACCATGTAATAGGCCCCACTTTTCCCCCTGGGGTCGTGTCTTCAGCTTCACTCATACACTCGATAACATGGAATTGATTTTCTCCTGACTTTCCTCTTGCTGATAAGCAACCCTTAGGGCCTCACCCAGAAACAGCCAAGAGAACAAGAGATACCCAGAGTGCCGGTCGGAAGTTGACAGTTGCCTGCTAAACCTCTCAAGTTTGGTCCATCAGGTCATTCTAGCCACTTGGCCTACTCCCTTGCGTGGCAGTTAGGCAGGAAAAAAACCCAACAGAGATGTGGGTTGATTCCATCTTTATTGTGTATCAGGGCTTAGATGATAAATATGGGTTGCTGTCACTCGCCACTCATCTGCTGTCCTCCTCCGTGTGAAGAGCCTCTGTAGCAGACTAAATTTAGCCCCAGAGATGAGGGTCAAGAAGAGAGAAGAATGGCCGAGGCCACGTTACCATCCTGCTACATCTCCATCTTACCATCCTGCTACATCTCCGTCTTAAAAGCAACACCGGACGGCACCGAACACTCACCTGCACACAACAGTCCCGTGCAGGAGACCCAGAGCTCTGCTAGGGAAATCATTCGTTCTGCCAATGCTTTTCTCGTTTCCCCATGAAAGGACAGCTGGCTCCCAGATACAGACATGGAATTACAGAATGTCTCGAGGACTAAGCACAAGCCTGTTGCTTGCCAACAAGGTTATGAACCCATCCCTTGATTCACTGCAGTTTTTTGCATACATTCAGAAGTAGTTCTAGAACTCTGGAAATGTGAGTACCTCTGTCACGTCCCGAGCGCTCAGGCCACCCGGTGAGCCTCCTGCTGGCAGACACGGGCCTCTACAAACCAGTCTCTGCCTACAAGTCCTGAGACTGGGAGCTGTCAGAAGGTTGCAGGTTCGTGCGGAGTTTGTACATGTGATTGAGCGCTTGTGTGAGGAAAGCCCCACTGGTGTTGATCTCCATCAAGGTCAAGTTATCCAGCTAAAACACAAGGGCAAACGGACCGGGTTGGTTGAGTCTTTAATTTCATGAAAGGTTAAATCTACTGGATAAAAAATAAGGAACCAATGAGTAATAATTTTCTGAAAGCCCCGCATGGCTAGTTATCCCTTCCCGCGACGCCCTAAGCAGACAAGATGCCGCGGGTTGTCCCACAGAGCATCCGGCCTCCGTGGGCGGCCCACCGCATGCCCACCTTGGCGTGTGCCTCCTGCTGTCTCACGAAGCTATCAGCAGACACCCGGAGCTTGGCTATGCGAGTGTCCCACACGTCCTTGATCAGGGTCCGGATCTCATCTGCTTTCGGGATGTTGTCTGAAGCACTAAAGGAAGCAAAAGGTGAAATAAATCGTATAAGGAAGCACTCAGCGAACTAAGGCAACTTCCAGGTAGAAGTAGCTTGTGTAAATGCTGCTTGGATTTAGGCAAAAATGCACAAGCTGTTCTAGACTCAAAATTGGTTTCGCTTTTTCAGTTTTTTAAAATGTAAGGATTTCTAGCGGTTAAGCTTGGTGCCAAGAAAATTCAGCCGTGATCCTCACCGAGTTATCTGTGCTCATGTTACCTGTCCCTGGGCAAGCTGTGGTACAAGGACTTCTGTTATTCAAAAAAAATGAGATCTTGGAGAAGCAGCTCTGAGTCGGTCCTCCCCTGACTCAGGATAACTGAGTGTTCTATGCTATAGAATTTCCATCGAGAATGAATTTCTTTCAAAGGCTGGCTCAGCGGTCATGACCTCTAATGCTAATACCCCATCTGTTATCCAAGGGCTACAACCCACTAGGGAAAGAAGACGAAGGCTCTGTGCCAGGCATTTCTATCCTCACAAAATCCCTGAAGGATAGGACTGTCCCACTCTACAGAGAAAACAAAGATACATTTGCAGAAATCACAGAACAAATCGCAAATGAGCATAAACAGCACACCTATACACAGCAAATTCTGGGTAACAGTCTGACTGGAGCCAGCGGGGCCGCACTGAGAGCCTTCCTGTGTGACACATTTTTAAACTAAACTAACCTTTGAAGGAAGAGACAAACTAGAAGACAAAAGCAAAAGCCAACATCACTCATCACCAGGCATCCTAGGGTAAGCTGGCAAGGCTCTCTCCACAGGCTAAAATAGCTCAAGATGAGTAGATGGAGAATCAGTAGTATACAATTGATACAGTAGATTTTATTTAAGACCCAAACATTTGGATCTTATGCTCTGAACAGCAGGTTAAAAAACAAAGGACCCCAGCTCCTCGTGAACTGCACTGCAGAACCGAGGTCCCTTCACTGAATGCATGGCTCTAAGGAATTATAAAACAAGGGTTTCGATAGGCACTGTGTACGTAACTCATTGAACTTCAAAAACTGAAGATGAACCGGCCTCCCCTCTGCTCCCATATTCTCCCTTCTGAAGTCACACTCCCCTACGAAAGCAGCCCTCTCATATCCTCCGGATAACGCCTACCTGCCTGAACACTCTCCTGGGGACGCCGCGTCCACCGCCCTGCCCTCACTCAGTCCATGCAGGTCCCAACAGCCCTGCTCCACAAATCCAGGCCCTTTCACCTTCTGTCCTTCTACCTATACTGCCCTCTCCCCTAGTAAATTTCCCTTCAGCCTCCAAGCCAGGGATCCCTTCTCTGGCAGCACCAGGCATGCGGGTTGCACCCCGACATACTCTGAACAGCATTAGCACACACTGCAGGGTTATACCACATCTGTCAACAGGGTCGCATCTCCTCCCTACGAAACTGGAACTCAAGCCTACATGACCATCTCCACTACCTGGTGGGACGCTTAGCATGTTGAATGCTGAGAATGTTGTGAACTACACAACTGCAGCCACATGTCAACTCAAGGACAAGTCCATGTGCAGATTTTCACCTGAATTCCACAGGTGGGCCCCCGGCCCCTGCTGCTCTTCGGGAGGCAGTAGGGAGCTTCCAACTTTGGTTCTGCTTCTGCTCTTGAATCCATCAGTGAAAAGGTGCTCAGGGCTTCAAAAGCTTGACATTGTGCAAATTACATTCTAAGTAGCCACACCTGCCTGCCCCCTGCACTGATGCATTCATTCATTCCACAAACATGTGAGTACCAGGCACTGTGCGGGGGCAGGCGAGACAGTCCCTGCCCATGAGACCTGGGGGCGGGGGTGGGGAACAGCTCAGGCACAGCAGTTAGAGCATTACACCTGACAAGTGCTATAGAGGGGTACAGAGCTGCCACGAGGACTGGTACACGTAACCTGGGAGGGAGGACCTGCTATGCTAAACCCGAGGAGGGAGCAGGGAACAGGTGGACTCACTGGGCAGAAGGACGGTGTACACACACACACACACACACACACACACGCCTGTGCGCTCTGAGGACCTGGGCATGTGTGAAGAAGTGAAGGAGGCCAACGTGAGCCTGCACCCTAGAGAATCGGAGGGAAGGACTGCAGAGAGTGGTGCGAGACGGGAGAAGGGAACCAGGCTGTGCGGTGCTTCGAATACCACGATCAGGACTTCAGACCCTAGAGAGGCTCCGAGGAGCAGGGGACTCACGTGGCAGCTGTATCTTTGCAAGGCTGCTCTGGCTGCAAGGCGGAGAATGAATTAGAAGCCCGTGGGGAGCCTGAACTGGATGAGGGGAAACAGTTTTGCCCCAGTGGACCTGCCTTCTAGCCCAGGGTCGAAGGAAAATGCGACCCCTGGCCCTTTCCTGTGCAAGAGATACAAGAACGCAGATGCACAGGCCCAAAGGAGAAAAGGGGTGCAGCTCGACTAATGAAACATTTGCAGTTAAGAAAAAGGCTACTGCTGGAGATGATGGGCTGATACTAGAGTCCAATATCAAGTGACGGGTAGGACGCAGAATGGAAAGAACCACGGGATCCACCAGGAGAGGGAAGGGTGGAGAAAGGGAAAAAAGAGAAACAGGGAGAGACAGAGCCCGGCCAGTGTGTGCGTGCCCACAAACGACTCCCAGACTACTGGCTGAGGACCTGGGCGCCAAAGCTACCACTCCCCTCGGTAATGAGCGTGGAACACGAAAGGAGGTGGGCTGGGAACTGGGGGTTCCATTGTGAATGTGGGTTCGAAGAAGTGAGAGGTACTTACTGATTTAAGAGGAGTTTGGTGAGCTCCATGTAGTGAAGGCTGGGCATAGGGGTAAAAGTTTCTTCCTTTCGTTCATGATCCCGAATCTCCTCCAACTTCTCTGAAATTTAGAAGTGTGTACATTTTACCATGACCACGAGCAAAATATAGTTTTAAAACCGTCCAAATTTACCAAGTACCTATATTAGCTAGTCAATCAACTAAAAAGTACATTAAAAAAACCCACTTTTTGAAATAACATAGCAGTAACTAGACATCACTGGGCCGATTTCCTCAAGCACTTCTCTTAGAGAAGGTGGTAGATTTGGGTTATTGCTGGGCCTGCAGAATATATGACTGAAAACAGGATGTCAGAGTCTGAAGTTCTTTTCTTAGGTAAAGAGTGAAGTATTCTACCTTTGATGCAAGCAGTGATGACAGTAACCAGTGACCGAAGAAATTTACTTTTATATTAAACCCTGTTCAGCAGACAGCAAGACAACTTACAACTAATACAGAGCTGAACGCCCCATGTCTGGAATCAAACTGCTGAGTCCAATTCCATCCACAGGAACAATCTCCATACGCCTCACCCCTCTCCCCTTCTGTCCTTCCCCCTGGCCTGAGAAAACCCGAGTCCTGAACCCGCCACTGCACGCTATGGCGAAGGGACACACAGAACTCTGCAGTGGGGCCTCGTGTGAAATGACTGGCCACGCATCTCCAGGGGCCCTCGGTGCTACCCTGCAATCCTTACACTCCCCTGCTCCAGACACCCTCTCACTTTCCATCCTGCCCGCCCTCTCCATGCTTTCTCCCCAACACCTTGCGGGGCTCCGCACACTACCGCCACCGCATCCTTCTAAGGGGCGCGCTGGACCTTCTCTCACCTGCACAGAACACCGCTCCGGCACCTGTCCCCACTCCTGAGTGATCCCTCTTGCCCTCGCTATCGGAGCCGTCCATCAAACTCGATGCAACATCTTCCAGCTTAAAAAGAAAACCCTCCCCTGACACCAAATCCTTCTCCAGCTACCAACCCATTTCTCACGCCCTTCACAACAAACCTTCAAGAGTTCCCTGACATCGGCATTAACTGTTCGGGTGGGCGACTATCCCACCCTCTGACACGGCTCACCGAGGCCACCACCTCTGCTCGGCCAAACCCAACGGCCACATCTCAGGCCTCGTCACGTCTGACAAGGGCCAGTCCTTGGGGTGTGTTTATCACTTGGCTTCTGGGATACCACTCTCCCCAAGTTCTCCTCTCATCTCCCCGACTCCTCCAGGCCTTCCTGACCTCAACACACTGGAGGACAGAGCTCCTTCCCTCACCCCTTCTCCACTGCCTACACCCATATCCCACGTGTTCTCATCCCACTTCATTTAAACGCCACCTATGCTCTCATGACACCTTCCACACCTAGACTCCCAGCTCAGCCCCTCCCCTGGCCTCCTGACTCAGGTGCCCCACTGCCCACAAAATTGCCACTCAGATGTCTAACAGGCACCTCCAGTGTCGCATGTTCAAACCCTCTCCCGGCTCCCACCCTGGTCCACACTGTCCCTGCAATGTCTCAGGAAAGGGCAGCCCCACCAGCAACCCCAGTGGGCACCCTTACCTCCTCTCTCTCATCCCATGGTCTGTCCTTCAGCAAATCCTGCTGACCCTTTTCTTCAAAATACGCCTAGATGCCAACCACATCTGCCTGCTTCCATCAACTCACTGGGCAAGCCACCCTGAGCTCTTGCCGGGCTAACCCCTACCGCCCCCTCCCCACACTCATCTCCACACCACAGACTGAGTCTCTTTCTTTTCCACATCTAAATCGGAGTATGAAACACCTCTGTTCAAACCCTGCAACGAATCAAAAAGACCGACCATACCCAGTGACGGCCCGGAGTGCAACAACAGGAGCTCGTACGTCTCTGCTGGGGTTACAGGAGTGGCTCAACCACTCTGCAGGGCTCCTGGGCAGCTTCTAACAGAGCGAAGCACAGTCTGCCCTACGAGCTGCCAGTTCCCCGACTCTAGGTGTTTATTTACCCGAGAGAAATAAAAATACATACCCGCAAAAAGACTGAGACACGACTGCTCAAAGCAGCCTTCTTCACAGTAGCCTAAAATGGGAAACGACCCAAATATGCACCAACAGAAGGATGGGGGGTCAAGCTGCGGAATCCTCACGCAATGGAGGAAACACTACTCAGCGGTAACAGCGATAACAGAATGACGCAATGACACGTGCAACAACAAGGGCGAATCTCAAAGACACTGTGATGAATAAGAGAAGTCAGAGGAAAACTGACATGCCAGACGATTCCATTCCCATGCCGTCCAAGAACAGGTGGAACCAATCTACGGGGGCAGGAGCAGCAGCTAGCTCCTGGGCAGGACCCATGGGATGACTAGTGATTTCCATGCCTCGTCAGCGCACGATTGCCCAGGCGTACGAGAGGCCTCAGGCAGACTGTCTCCACACCTTCCCTCTGACTCTGGCCCTCCCACGACACAGGCTGTTGCCCTCTAACACCTGGGTTAGAATAGGCCAAAACTGACAGAAAGGGATGCAGCGCCAACAGAACCAGCGCCTGGTGGGTGGGTGGGGAGGCCCCTGCTTAAAAAAACGCCCTTCAGAGCAGAAGGGACTGGAGTTTCCTGTCATGTTTCAGGACCACCAGATTCACACACCCCTTTGGGACAGGAAGTAAAGACAAAACGCGCGAGCAATCTTTCTTAAACTGTATTTGAGTGCACCTGGCTCCAAGTGTCCTAGCTTCTAGGAGGTAGGTACCCCCGGGTGATTTCCAAAGGGAAGGGGATAATCAAAATCTCTCAGAGGCTTTTCAAATTTCATATGCCCCCCAACCCCGACCCCAAATAAATGTGACATTCATTCTTTACTAGTAATGAGCCATTCATAGCTCCAGGTGAGAAAAAGACTGCAACGGTTCAGGAAGAAGACCGTGTGCCTCTTTGATGCGGTATTTTCTTCTCGGTTTTTTTCCAACAGCTTTACTGAGGCATAATCGACATACCATACCATTCACCATTCAATGGTTTTTTAGTATATTCACAGAGTTGTGCACCCATCACTTCAATCAACTTCAGAACATTTTCATCACCCCAAAAGGAACCCCATAATGGTTCCATCACCTGCTCAAACCCTCATCCTTAGGCAACCACTAATCTTCTTTGTCTGTGGATCTGCCTGCTCTGAACAATTCATATAAATAGAAGAATACAATAGTTGGTCTTTGTGTCTGGTTCTTCTCCCACTTAACGTAACATTTTACAGGCTCATCGGGACTTCCCTGGTGGCGCAGTGGTTAAGAATCTGCCTGCCAATGCAGGAGACACGGGTTTGAGCCCTGGTCTGGGAAGATCCCACATGCCACGGAGCAACTAAGCCCGTGCGCCACAACTACTGAGCCTCCGCTCTAGAGGCCTGTGAGGCCGTCGTGCCTAGAGCCCGTGCTCTGCAACAAGAGAAGCCACTGCAATGAGAAGCCCACGCACCACAACAAAGAGTAGCCCCCGCTCACCATAACTAGAGAAAGCCCATGCGTGCAGCAATGAACACCCAACGCAGCCAAAAATATAAATAAAAAATAAAGGTTCATCTATGTCTGCACCCTGTGTCACAACCTCATCCACTTAGGTGGCCAAAAACAATATTGCCTTGGATGGACGATGCCTTATTGTCATGCATTCTCTCTAATGTAAGGTAACGACTCTGTTCCTCATGCTGGTCTCTGGGTTTTAAAAAAATTTTTTTTTGATATATTTACTTTTATTTATTTATCTTTGGCTGCATTGGGTCTTCGTTGCTGCATGCAGGCTTTCTCTAGTTGCGGTGAGCAGGGGCTGCTCTTCATTGTGCTGCACGGTCTTCTCATTGCAGTGGCTTCTCTTGTTGTGGAGCGCGGGCTCTAGGCATGCGGGCTTCAGTAGTGGTGGCACACGGGCTCAGTAGTCATGGCTTGCAGGTTCTAGAGCGCAGGCTCAGTAGTTGTGGCGCATGGGCTTAGTTGCTCTGTGGCATGTGGGATCTTCCCAGATCAGGGCTCAAACCTGTGTCCCCTGCACTGGCAGGTGGATTCTTAACCGCTGCACCACCAAGGATGTCCCTAGACTTTAAAATAAACACAGTTACAAGAGACAAAGAAGGACACTACATAATGATCAAAGGATCAATGAAAGAAGAAGATATAACAATTGTAAATGTATATGCACCCAACATAGGAGCACCTCAATATATAAGGCAGATACTAACATCCATAAAGGGAGAAATTGACAGTAACACAGTAACAGTAATAGTAGGGGGATTTAACACCCCACTTTCGTCACAGACAGATCATCCAGACAGAAGATCAATAAGGAAACACGAGCCTTAAATGACAAATTAGACCAGATGGACTTAATTGATATTTACAGAGCATTCCACGCAAAAGCCACAGAATACACATTCTTTTCCAGTGCACGTGGAACATTCTCCAGGATTGATCACATGCTAGGCTACAAAGCAAGGCTCAGTAAATTTAAGAAAACTGAAATCATATCAGGCATCTTCTCCGACCACAACACTATGAGATTAGAATCAGCTAGAAGAAAAAAACTGTAAAAACACAAATACGTGGAGGCTAAACAATATGTTACTAAACAACCAATGGATCACTGATGAAACCAAAGAGGAAATTAAAAAATACCTAGAGACAAATGAAAACAAAATCATGACCATCCAAAATGTATAGGATACAGAAAAAGCAGTTCTAAGAGTGAAGTGTATAGCAATACAATCTTACCTCAGAAAACAAGAAAAATCTCAAATAAACAACCTAACCTTAGACCTAAAGCAACTAGAGAAAGAAGAAAAAAACAAAACCCAAAGATAGTACACTGAAATAATAAATATCAGAGCAGAAATAAATGAAACAGAGACAAAGAAAAAATAGAAAATATCAATAAAACTAAAAGCTGGTTTTTTGAAAGGATAAACAAAATTGATAAATCTTTAGCCAGACACATCAAGAAAAAAAAGGGAGAGGGCTAAAATAAATAAAATTACACATGAAACAGGAGAAGTTACAACAGAAATACAAAGGACCATAAGCGCCTAC